GGACCCCGCACGGCTGGCCGAGGCGCCCATGCGGGGCGGCGCGGCGCGGTGAGGGCGCACGCGGGCGGGGCGCAGCCGGCACCATGTCCATGCTGCCCACCTTCGGCTTCACGCAGGAGCAAGTGGCGTGCGTGTGCGAAGTGCTGCAGCAGGGCGGCAACATCGAGCGGCTGGGCCGCTTCCTGTGGTCGCTGCCCGCCTGCGAGCACCTCCACAAGAATGAAAGCGTGCTCAAGGCCAAGGCCGTGGTGGCCTTCCACCGCGGCAACTTCCGCGAGCTCTACAAGATCCTGGAGAGCCACCAGTTCTCGCCGCACAACCACGCCAAGCTCCAGCAGCTGTGGCTCAAGGCGCACTACATCGAGGCGGAGAAGCTGCGGGGGCGGCCTCTGGGCGCGGTGGGCAAGTACCGCGTGCGCCGCAAGTTCCCGCTGCCGCGCTCCATCTGGGACGGGGAGGAGACGAGCTATTGCTTCAAGGAAAAGAGTCGCAGCGTGCTGCGCGAGTGGTACGCGCACAACCCTTACCCTTCGCCCCGCGAGAAGCGAGAGCTGGCGGAGGCCACGGGCCTCACCACCACGCAGGTCAGCAACTGGTTCAAGAACAGGCGGCAGCGCGACCGGGCAGCCGAGGCCAAGGAAAGGTACGAGTAAGTAGAGCTCCGGCACAGGTTTACTGAGGTCCCGGGGAGGGGGTCTCAGGGCATCTACCCACACCTGGAAGAGGTCTAGACTAGAAGTCTCTCCCGACTGCACTGGCACTCAGGTTTTGGAGACTGAGCGGGTTGGGATTTGTCGGAAGCGGGCAAAGTGGGGCGCAGGAAGTTGTCAACTCACTCCCTGGTCGTTATGGACAGAAGTGGAAACCCAGCAGGCTTTTGGATCAGGGCAGGACTGTGGGCCTGAATCCCCACGGGAGAGGCACATCAGGGTAGGCCTGATGGTTGTTTTTGGTTGGTTCCCCCTCCCAAGATCAAGAGCAGTGTTGGGGCCCAGGTAAAAGCGCGCTGTGAATTTCTGTCTGTTTTCGGAGCTTCTCCTCGATCAATCTTACCTCCACGCCAAAGTGCGGTTTGGGATCAGGCCTGGGATTGGAACTTTCTTAGGATGACCTGGATGGAGGAAACCATGGGCAAGGATATGGGAGTTAGGCAGCATTTCCCTGTCCCGCATGTAAAGACTTCGGGGAGGAAGTGTCAGTTCTGGGAGAGAAAAAAATATACGTGCCTCCCTTTTCTGCCTCGCTGGACACAGCAGCCCTTCCAAGGTTTGTTAGACCCTTGACTCATCTCTCCACAGGTTCTACCTTGTTGGGTGAGTGGGTCACTATGTCGCGATTGAGCTGAGAGCTCTAGAAGGAAAAGCTAGGAGCGTCCATCCTCAGGGAAAGCAGGCCTTCCTCAGGGGGCCTAAAGCTTGCCGAAAGCCACGGAAGCTGCCTGCCCTATAACCCCGCAGAACTTCAAATCTAGAAAGGGAAAGGGGAGAGGAATGGATCATGGTGACAGAATCCAGCCTGAGGGTACAGCAAAACAGGACACCTGGGGTTGGTGGTATGGGACATGCTCAGCCGAGAGTTTGAATGATCCGGGTCCGGAGTGGGAGTGCTTAACAATGGAAACGGTTGGAAGTAATGCTACAGACCACACCTTGCTGTCCAAGACCTTGATGCTGGAGTACCTCTGCGGTAAGGTCTCATCTGCCAGCTTTGAAGATTCCCTCCAAAAAATTCAGGAAGAAAAAAAAATAAGACATTCTCTCTCTCTCTCTCTCTCTCTCTCTCTCTCTCTCCCCCCGTTTCTCACTCTCCCTCTCCCCCCCCACTCAGATCTAGGCAGAGAAGCTGGGTTGTCTGTGCTGGGTTTCCCTCTACCCAGACTGGCATGAGTCCACACTCAGGAAGAACTGTTCTCCCACAAGCCCCAGGTGAAAGGTCGGAAAGGCCAGTCCAGGAATAACAAGCACCTTCCTTCGTACTGGGCTACCCTTCAGCCTGTAGCTTCCCGTCCCTGATGGATGGCTGGAGTTACCAAGGAAAGAGATACACCTATCCTTAGAGCCCAGGCCCTAGACCAGCAGGGACAGCCCTCCCAGGGCCTACCCAGCTTGGATTAAGGGAAAGAATACTCAAGAGCCTGTCCCTAGTCCCAGCCGGGCTCCCCCTCAGGCTAAACAAAACAAAAGAAAGGAAGAGCAGTAAAATACTTCACTTCTTATGGGTCTTCAGCCCTGGATTAGGGACCCACATTCTTCTGGTCCCTCAATCTCTTCTTCCTGCCTGCTGCTTACTAAACTCCAGGGTGTCCTGCTGCCCTCAATCCTCAACCCCATGTCGGCCAACCTCGTGGACCTGGGCTCCTAGAGCTTTGCTGCTATCCTTCCTGTTTTATAACCCAAATGGGGATATAAAACAGGAAATATAGTCACAAGGTTGAGAACAGAGGTGGAGATAGATACAGAAGAAGGACAAGATAGATGTCAGTATTCAAAGGTCATAGTGATTGGCAGGAAGGACTACCCGAAGCTAGACCAGGAAAGGGTAGAAGGCCGACCCTCCGGAGAGCAGCCCGGCTGGGCTGCTCGGCCCTGCCTGCCCTGCCTGCCCAGTGGGAGTGGGCCAGCCTCTGGCTCTGCGCGAGGCAATGCTGAGTGGCCTCGATTTCCCCGCTGACCGCGGCTTTGCTCCTGCACTTGCAGGGAGAACAGTGAGAACTCCAATTCCAACAGCCACAACCCTCTGGCTTCCTCGCTCAACGGCAGCGGCAAGTCAGTGCTAGGCAGCTCGGAGGACGAGAAGACGCCGTCGGGGACGCCAGACCACTCTTCGTCCAGCCCTGCGCTGCTGCTCAGCCCGCCGCCGCCCCCCGGGCTGCCGTCGCTGCACAATCTGGGCCATCCTCCTGGCCCCAGTGCGGTGCCGGTGCCCGTGCCTGGTGGAGGCGGCGCTGACGCCCTGCAGCATCACCACGGCCTGCAGGACTCAATCCTCAACCCCATGTCAGCCAACCTCGTGGACCTGGGCTCCTAGAGCTTTGCTGCCACCGCGCCGGCTTCCTCCCGGGCCTGGCGCTGGGGACCTGTGAAAGGCAGTGCAGGAGGGTACCCGCGGCGACCCCATCAGGTATCGAAAGACCGGCGCGCTGGCCGATGCGATGCGGCGCTGTGTCCTCGGGTCCTTGTTCGGAATTTATTTTTAACATCTTGCTTTTGAGGTCCCTTGGGGGCCACGTCTTCAAACAGGGAAAAGGATAAATTCCTCTCTCTCCTATTTCCTCCTCTTCCTCTTTCTCTTCCTCCTCACTTCCCTTCTTCCTTAGCCCTGTTTCCTTCTAGGTCGCTAGACTTCTACCTTGTACTCTCGCTCTCTGTTCTGGCCTCTTAGCCTGCACCCTCTTTCTGCCCCCTCGCAGCCCTTATTTTCCCAGTGTTGAGCAGGAAGGAAGAAGTCAGGGCCTTTGACCCCCGGCCGCTCCAAAGCCTCTCCCCGAGGGCCCCACCCGTCAGTGGACGCTGCAGGTGTCAGATTTTCGTCTCCTAATTTAAGTGAAAAGAAGGGGCTATGCCCCGCAACTCCTCCCCTCCTGCCTGCGGACCTCCCTCTCTGGGCGAGGCCTCTCCGCCTCTTCCCACTCGGACTGAGACAGCGGCTGGCAGAGCGCACCTCCCGAGCCGCGGACTTGCCGTTTCCCTGTCGTGCCCTCTTGTGAATGTTCTTCGGGAAATATTTCTGCTTCTATTTTATAATAAAATTAGAAATCATAAATATATATGGGTATATGCACGAGGCCTGCAGGCCGCTAACGCGCGACCGTGTGTCACTTCCCTATAGGAATTGGGCAACCCGGATGGGCCGACCTGAGCTGCGACGGCCGGGTGAGCCCCAAGGACGCCTTCTCGCTGAAAACTGAGAAACCTCAGTCTCCAAGGCCCTCAGTCCGGGAAATTCCCTGCAGAGGCAGAAGGGGCGGCTTGCTTTTGACGCCGCAGAACCCTGCCTGCACCTTTTCCCTTGGGGGCAAGGCTGGGAGATCAGAGGTGGGCGCAGGTACCCGTGTTTGGAGCTGCAGTCTAGAGAATAAACCCTGCCGCTGAAGTTTGGAGTCTGGTCGGGATCACGCGAGCAGTGAGGAGGGCGACACTAAGCTGATTTGCTCGCAGTGGCGGGGGGGTGGCGTGCAGCGGGGCCTCAGGCTCCGGGAGCTCACGCCCAGGCCGGTGAGGCAGCTTTCTCTGCGCTCTCCAACCTGCGCTCGGTAGAATGTGGGTTTACTGTAGAGCTGAAGGACTGGAGGAAAAGATCCAAAGAAGATGGCAGGGGGTGGGGAGCAGGCGGGAGCAAGGGAGAGACTGAACTGGCGGGGCAGGGTCTGGCGGAGGAGGTGCCTAGCGCCTGTTCCGTGGACCGCAGGTGTGTCTCTGGATGATCAGTAACCTACAGCGGCCTCAACTATGGGGTCTTGCCCCCTTTAAAGCCCAGCTTCCGGGCTGGAGAGATGGCTCAGTGGTCTAAAGCACCTACTTAGAACAAGTTCAGCGAAGCACAGGGACCACGGTTCAATTCCCCAGCACCACATGCCAGCC